TAGTGCTGTGCAGTCCCCCAGCATCAGGCTACAAACTTTGCACTCACTAAAGCCAGGAGAGAAGGTGAATGGAGACCGATGCCTTGGTAAGTGCCATTTATTGGTACATGTGTACTGGGCAGCCTGAGATGTGTGCTATGTGAAGAGGTCATTGCCTGAACTAGCTGTATAGTTTTGCTGATTTCGTGGATGTGGACTGATTTGCTTTTGCTCTTCTGTTTTGGTGTCTCAGGTATTTAATGAGCGGTGCCGAATTCACTACAAGCCTCCGAAGAGTCAATGATGTGGGGTACTTTCCATCAAGGTGGTCCATAACTGTGAGAGCCAAACTGGAAAGAGACCTTGGGTGAGCTGTATTGGGACCCTCCAGAACCAGTAGAACCCAGTCTTGTTTTGTTTTGGACCTACTTAGCTAAAATCTCAAGGCTGAAGTGATTCTCCTGTAATTGAGAGAAAACAATTCATCTTTTGTACCAAATATGTGAACAAATGAGTTTTATAGTATTAAAATAATTTTCAAATGGAATGCAAAACTGGCATCTTTCTTGAACTTCTACAGCTTCAGCAGTCCCAGAGGGGAAGAAACAGTAAAAGGCCTCTCTGAGCAGGGAGGACAAGGCTCTCACTGACCTGGTTGCCTGCTAAACTCTCAGTGAGCGTGGTGTGTTTGTGCAGCAAATCTGCTAAAGTCTGCAAGGAAATGAAAATTGCAGAATGAACAGCATGTGTAGTAGGTTCAGCATCCCTGAAAGTTAGATGCTGCCAGCATTGTTCCAAACTGCTTAACAGGAGCAGCATTGGCTCAGAGCTGTGTGTGGAGACAGGTTTGCCATTGTTCCTGCAATGCTCACAGGCAGCATCTGTTGTAAACTGTCCTTTGGTATGTGTTACCAAGCTCTGAATTTTTCCTTTGTGTGGGAAATGAGCTGTTGATTAAAACCACTTTGAGTTGGAGATGAAGCTATGTCTCCTTTGGGAATGAGACAGTTAACAGTCCAGTGATTCTTCTGAACCTTTAAAATTAATTCTACAGGTGAATTGCTTTTGAGCTGAGAAAAGAGCTGCGCATAGCTGATCTTGTTGATTCTGGCCATAGTGTTGTGTTTAGGAAGCTTTAATGCAACATCCCTGCAGTAGTGTGGCATTTAAAGACAGAAGTATGAAGAAAACTGAATTAATAATAGTTATACCTTGATTTTTTATAACTAACTCAAGCTGTCAGTCAAATTACAAGGACTGCATGGTTGCCAGCTGGCTTTATTACTCGGTGATATGTCTTTAATACCCACTGGATTTGAACAGAGCATTAAAAATACAGGCTCCATCTTGAAAAGAGTTTGGAATTCAGCAAGGGGAATGAAATTAGTGCATACTCTCAGATACCTAAAAGCTGTGCATATATGAGCAGTGACAAGTACACGCAGGACCTCTGACACTGAAAGCTGACAAAGATCTGTGCAGCATCATCTGTTTTATAGTTTTTTGTCCAGTAGAGACTGCAATTACTTGGTGACCTTTTATTTTTAGGCAGCAAGGTCATTTAGTCTCACTTTTTTTTTTCTGAGAATGAGGCAGAAATGTATTTTAAATCTTTGAGGATGTAAATCCTAATGTTCGAACTTCATTTTTTTTCCTTTTTTTTCCTCAAGGTACTGCAACTGTTCTATGCAGAACTTTACTCGGGTTGGAGCACTCATCTCATTCTTGAAGATTTCTCATTGCTTTTCTGCAACTCTGAAAGCAGAAAACATGTTTGTTCATCAACTGTTAAATTCTTATAATTGTTTTTCATCAAGGTGGAAATCAAATACTGCTCAGAACTATGGACTAAATTAGCAGTAACTTGAATTCCACTGGACATGGTCAATTAATGAGATGTTGAGAACAGTCAGCTTTTATTTCAAAGTTGGTACTTTAATAGTGACCTCTTTTATAGCTGTCTAAAATACCCATTCTCTCCATGGCTTGGGTCAACTGCAAGGACAAATTCTCCTTTTAAGCCACTTGTATGATAGAGTCTTCTGCTAGTGTATAGAGTTGGCATCAATACTCTCGAAATTTAATCTTGTATTTCTGTATAAACTAGAGACTATAACGAGAATTAATCATTGTCCTCCTTTATCCATCCAGATGTTCATTCAGCTGTTGTGGGAAATCTTCTTCACTTTAGCAGATGCTGTGAAAAATGACCTGTGAAATGGATGTGATACATACTCAGATTTTTTTTCTTTTTATTTAGTTTGTTATGAGAAAACTGTGTAAAACTAAAACACCAAAAAGCCAATCCAAGGTAACATTATTTTCATTTTGACTATAAGAGCAAAGAAGTAGCCCTTTACAAAGCTGTCTGTGAAATACTTTAGACACCATAAGAAGACTCCTAAGTCCCAAACATCCCTTCTTTAAGTGTCTGCAGCTTGTATGCAGAGGATTGCACTGGGAAATTGTACTGCTCTATTTGGTTTGCTCTGAGTGCTGAGGGATATCTCTTACAGTAGTCCATGGCAAATCATGTGGATCCAAGGCTGTTTGTGTCTTGCTGTTGAACTTCGTGGAACAGGAAGGTAAGTAAGGGGAATTGCATGCTGTGCTTTGGGCACGGGGCAGGAGAACATGGCTCTGCTGTCTTCTGAGTCCTTCAGATGTGCCTGTGGAGGGAGATGGTTTGTGATGCTATGAAATGGCATTGATATGAGCTGTGGGCCACTCTGGACACAGGCTGGTAAAATTTGTCTGGGGACCCCACCATTCTAGGACCAGGCTTAGTCTGGGATTGAACCTTGCTTCAGCAGTACCATGGAGGCAGTTACAAAACTGCTGGGCTGCTTGATGTCACATGGGACTCAAATAATGGACCCCACAAATAGATTAAATCCTTTTCCTGGTTTTAACTTTTATTTCTGCAAGTAAAGGCACTGGAGCAAAACTGATGACCCTGTTCAGAGTCCAGGACATCCTTGCTCTGTACTGGGGCTTTCCCATTTCTTGGAAGTGATGAATAGAGGTGGGCAGATTCCACTTGCTTGGAAAGTCCTCTCGAGTTTGTGTATCTTATTTCCTTCTGCAAAATAGAAGGAGGTATGATTTTGCTGGCACTCAGTGCTATTGTCTTCTGCAGCCTGTAGGCATGAAAGAGTGGTGAAACAGGTAATTTCTTTACAGAACATTTTTAAGGGTAGGCTTTAGTCATCTTGAAGCACAGTGAGGGGAAGTGGCTCTTTACTGGCACTATAGGCTCACCATGGGCTGGAATACAATGAGTTTGTTCTTCTGAAGGTCAGGCTTCTATTAATTCTCGTTGATTTAAGGGTCTGTAGCAGGAGAGGGAACCTTTCTTGCAGACCAGCATGTTGAAAATCAAGGTTGATGTTAACTGTGGAGATGAAAAAAGATCTTCAACTAGTTTGTGGAGGGCTGCTTTCCTTTTGAAGCTCTTAAAAACATTCTGATCATGTGTCATATCATCCAGTCACATTCAGGTGTCTGACGTCGTTTCTGATTTAAAGATGACTTGTAAAGATGTAAAGGTGACTTGACTTGTTTAAAGATGACATAACTCTGAGGTCTGGATTTTGGTTGACGGTTTTTTATGGTTTCTTTGCTTTGCTTTGTTTTGTTACTGTACCAGTGTTTTTATCAACTATAACTTGTAGTTCTTAAACTTCCATGTACAGCACCAGGGAGTAGTGGCCTGAAAGCTGTAAAATTTGTTTCTTCCTTATTGGAATAGTACATGGTGCAAGATGTTACTCAGCTTCAAAACTATAAAGAATGCTGGTGATATTCTGCCAGCGGAGATTGTCCCATATAACAGCAGTAAATTGAGGGGAAACTCCAATCTGTGCAAATGCAGAGTGTAGGCTGGAATGGTACGTGATATCAGACATGTCACAAATACTAAAGGAGGGGACGATCATTAGCTTGAGAATCATATGCAAGAGAGGGAATGGGGGCGGCTGTTCTTTTGATGGTTGTGTTCCAAATCCTGTTTCATTACATCTGAAGCTGACTAGAGAGGGGTGTAGGTGAATGTTGCCTAGGATGAGGTTAATCCATTGCCACTGATCATCTTTGAGAAGAGGTCTGTGAAACGTCAGCACTTCAAAGTGCTTTCCTGAAATTTGTGTGCAGGATGAGTACTGCATCCCAGTCTTAAAGCTATCACTGGATTTTGGGACAGCAATTAGCAGTTTTAGGAGCTCCCAACCCCTTTTTTCCTGAAAACTGGAAGCATTTTTCTCTTGGTTCCGAAAGATGTTGTCTCAGGACAACTGTTTCTCCTCAAATGCTTTTCATCCACTCGTATAGCACTGCTGCTCAAGTTTGGGAAGTTCTGCAAACACTGTTACCAGAAACAGCTCTAATACTGATCTATATGCTGTTGAGTTTAGGGTCCCTAGAGCCCCAGATTCTACATCTCGGGTCCTTTGTACTAAAACCAGGCCTTGAAGTCGGGTGTGAAGTCCTTGTTTACAGCCTGTTGCATCACTTGTCATCTGTGAGGAGGAGGGTCAGTAGCCTGGGTAAGACAGGGATAAGTCTGTGCTACACAAACCCCATTGCTGTGGCCATAAACAAACTTGTTTTGAGCAAACTCCCCAGTGCTGATTCCAGCAGAAATGCCCTTTGCCTGTGTGCAGCACGTAGTCCTATTTCACCTACTGCCATGTACCCAGCCCTGGAGACTACAAATTGTCTGGTCTGTTGCTGCTTCTCTGGTCCTTGCTCTGGAACAACATTCCTCATATTTTCTGGAGAGAGGGATGGCAGGAATACCAAGGGAGAGTAATTTTCCGGAAATGTTAGTCCTCCCCATACCTGGGAGGGCTGCTAACACTTATTAGTTGTCCCTCAGTAGGTTTTGAGCTTTGTCCATTTATATATGGTCATGGATGTGACTGTTCCATGTGTCTGGGAATGAATCCTTTGGACTATGTATTCTGCATGTTGCCTGTTTCAGCAGTGTACCTTGACATCAGGACAGCAACTGTGTGTTGTCTTCCCAGAAATTGGCACTAGGGTTTCAATTGAAATGTTACTGTATATTCAGTCGTTGTTATGATTGCCTGAATTCAACTCGAGAGCTTCTGCTTCTCATGGGAAAGATGCAGAAATACCTTATTTGAAGTACTTACCTGAAGCTGGGATTTAATTTTTTTCTACTTCTAATGCTGTTGTTTACCTTGGCACCTCTCTGGTCAGGCAGAGGGAAGTCAAGTCACTGGAGATAAGATGCAATCTGCTCCTCTTTCGCATTGGGAAGGATATTGAGGCAATAAAATTCCAAATTGAACGGAACCTGCAGTAGGGAAACTACTGCATGCTTTCTTCTGATCTTGAAAGGTGTTGGGAATTATGGGATGTGACTTTGATCCATTTCCTGAGTGCACAGACCAGTCACCTGCACACTGGTGGAGAGGCAAGGGGTTCCATTTGCAGCCCAAAACAATTGTCTTGAGATGTAGGTGGCTGGAGTCCAATGTTTGCTTTTCTTATTGACATGAAGACTGAGCACTCTTTAGATTCTTAAAGTGCTTTTTATATTAATTATTAATGTTATCGGTGTTTTACATTGCTTTCCCCCGTTTTCCCAGTTAGTTGGCTTCTCCAGTTCAGTAATGGTAGGCTCCATGTGTTGTAGGTCCCATGATTCCATGACACTGTGGGATGATGACCCAGGAGCCTGGCAATGGTTAAGGCTGCCTATTTATGGCCTACAGTGGGTACCCTCTACGTTATCTTTGCGGATGGAGATAGGCATGGTTGACGTCAAGAAAGGATGTGTTGGCCGAAGGAGGAGGTGCTGTGGAGCCAGGATGATCCTCTTTTGGCTCTGACAAACAGAACAGACCAGAACAAAATCGTAAGGCCGGAACCTTGAAGCATACCATGCCCAAAAATTGAGGGTCATTTGAACAGGAAATGCAACCCCCCTGCGTATGTTAATAAGCTTAATGAAGTACGTGCTACCACACTTGGCTACGTTACTCAACTCTCCACTTTGATCATGCCACATGGAAGAAGCAGGGGGAAGAGACGATTGGGCTGTATATAAGGAGGGTAGAAACTTCACCGAAGTACGAGGAAGACCCGAGAAGACTCAGAGACAGTCAGTGGACTACTCTCCTCTCTCTCATCCCAAGCAGGAACGCCTTTGTGGTAAGCCTTTGTGTCCGATTGTTACTATTTCCCGGGTTGTTATTGTTAGAGCTTTGTTGCAGCAGGTGCATTTATCAATGGCCATTTCAAATCTGAATTTCTGTTGCTTCAATAAACCAAACTAACTGTGAATCTGTGAGGGCAGAAGTTCTCCTCGAATGCAACCAGATTTAAAGTGTAAACCACACTGTTTGGGAATCTGTGCTAGTGGAAGTTCCTATTGAACATGACCAGAGTTACAGTGATGAATTGCTTCTAAACCTAAATTAAGTGTAGCTGTACCCAGCCCCTCTTGTCCCTGAGGCCCAGCTGGAATGCCAGGGGGTTTATTTTCTGCCAGATTTCTTACTCATAATTCAACACACATGTCTATGTGTATATATATATGTATATATGCAAGATGTCTGGTGACTCTGTTCAGACTGTGCTAAACTTCCCTCTTCAGAACCACCTGTCATGTTAAAGAAGTCACCTGCCACTGGGGGCTTATCTCCCCCTGAGCCTGCTACTCAAGAAGTCCAGGATATCACTAACCAGGTGAGCTGTGCCTAGTCTATAGATGAAGTCTCTGTGTGCAAAGAGCTGAGTGCTGAAGGTTGTGTAAAGGCTGAGAGACCAAGTGGGGATACTGAAACAGGGTTTAAACTGGCTACCTTCAGAGAATGTTCTCATGTACTTCAGAGCCCAGCTCTGCTATGCCAGCACTGAGGTGGCTACTTTGAAATGAGAGGTGGCATATTTGAAGGGAGAAGTTTGTACGTGGTAGAAGTAATTCCTCACTGAAGGCTGTGGATAGGACAAACCACATGCAGGTATGCCCTAAAAATGATGTAAACAGGACAAGGCAACGAATAAATGGTGTGTTCTCTGCTGGCATTGTTTTCTGGAGTCTTGGTCAGTGGTCTGTATAACATGCTCCCTGTCTTGACACTAAGCTCCTCAGTCACCACAAAAGGAGTCAGTGGGTGGAAGCCACTTCTAGCCAGCTGTTTTTTTCAAAATTCTTGTGTTCCCTGTTTAGTTTTTATACTGTGTATTGGGCAGAACCATGTATTCGCTCCCTCCATGCTGGTCTGGCTAATTCAGAGGGACATTCCCTTTCATTTATTGAGCTCAGGAAGTTACACCACCTGAATGGTTCCCTTGACTGACAAAAGCTATTTGTCTAAAACACCCTGTGGTCCCCTTGATGTTGAGATAAAGTCAGCTTATCTGCAAAAGCTGTGGTCAGTCACACCCTGCATTATTCAGGGGGTTTTGTGGGCAGCACATCGCCCTCCCCAGCTCCCCTGAGCCTTCTCCCAGTGTGGGGCTCTATTGGTCAGTCACAGCTGGGCTCACCAGAGCTGGGCACGTGTACATGGGGCAGGGCTGGAGTTTGGGGTAACAGGTCAGTCAGAGGGAGATAATTTATTGCAAAACAGGAAGAGAAAAGGATGATCTACAGTTGCTTGGGGCACACCAATTGAATGAGCAGTATCACTGTTGGTCATCTGCTGGCACGAGTGGTTGCAGGAGCAGCACTTGAAGAAATGAGAAATTCCCTTTTAGCTATGGAAGGGAGACCCTAGGCAGGGACTTGTAGCACCTTTGTGTATTTGCCATTGGTGTTTCCTCCTGTGTAAGGTGGGGAGGGCAATGTCTCAGCCCACTGGGGGCTTGAAATTTGACTCCTGAGTCTTGTGAAAGGCCTCAAGGGCCTCCTTTGAACATGGCTGGGCCAGTGCAGCATCCCAAATAGTGAGCTACATTTTCAGTGCTGGGCTGTGTCATTTCTGGGTGATCAGAAGTATTTTGGTGTGTATTGGAGGTGAAACCACAGTGCTTGTCTGTCAGTGAGCAAACAGGCTCAAAATCAAACTGTGAATGCTGTTTTCAGGCTGTGCTAATGCTCACAAAGTACAGGGCAAATATGGCATTTGAAATGTGGATGTAGAGATTTTCTGCTTGATTCCAGAAGAGGAGTGATCTTAATCTTGGTGTTCTTTCATTCTCAGTAACTTCAGGAGAATGAAAACAAATTATTCTTTGCTCTTTGTTTTCTGCCTTATGCTGAGAGTAGGAGGGAGAACTCTTCCTGGTCCCCCCCCACCACAGAGGCTTGGGTATAGTTCTCTGAGGAAAACATCCTGATGTTGGGGCAGTCCTTCTGTGCTTCCAGACTGTGCATATTTTAGAAGAAAAGCATCAGATGACCGGAGTGTAGCTCCGAGGCTGTGAAACAGAGCAGGGATCTTCGGCCTCCCAGGCTGACTGGCGTGGTGTTCTAGGTGAGGGGAGCTGTCTAGCACTTCCCTGTAACTGTGGTTGACACAGGGTGTACCCTGGTAGGGGGCATGGCTTGGTGCCTCTGTCCTTTGATCTAGAATTAAAAGGGTAACCAGTAGCAGCTTGCTGTCTGTAGTGAGCAGGAGACTGTTCAGCTGGATATCTTTAGAGCAGGGGAAATCAATTAGGAAGTCTCCTTCTCACAGGATTTTAAATAATGCTGGAGGCAGTGCTAGGAAGGAGGGCTGGAGATCCTGGTGTAAATTGATTTATATTGGGGGTTCTGGGTATATTTTATCAAGGGTGTATGAACCTGCCAACCATTTTTCCTTTTCTTTTTACAGGTGAAACTACAACTTGAAGTCAGAGTAAACAGGAAATATGACATCTTTAGAGCCATACTCTACAGGACTCAAATAGTTGCTGGGGTGATGTACTTCATTAAGGTTTGTATATAATATAGGAGGGAGTGCTTTGCAGTTAAACGATATAGGTGACTTGCAGAGTAGCTTAGAGCTAGAAAGAGAAGCAAATGTGGCAGAAAAAAGCAAATGTGATAGAAAAGCATCTGGATGTGAGTAATAGAAAATCATCTCAGGATGTTTTAAAATCCCTCTCTGACACTACTGTAGAAGAGGAATAGTTCTTTCTGTATTTTCAAAACCCTCTCTCTGTTGTGGAGATAACCCGGTAATGCTCCGTTTGGATCCCTCTGAGAGCACCATTCATCCTCTACTAGGAACCCTTACCCACGGCTGTGAGCAGCTTTCTATGAAGTAGCACAGAAGAACTTGCTGGGCATAGTTTGCATCTGAAGGCCAGCAAGCGCTGCTGAGTGGCAGGCTGGCCCTCAAACAGAGCACACATAGCGTGGGACTGCTGTCTCTCAAACCCCAAGTGTGGGGACATGTGCCTGGTGGGACACGCTCCCCTGACAAGGGTCGGAATTGTTTTATGGAAGAAATTGTCTGGTAGCGTTTGGGGGAGAGTAATTCTGCAGAGAGATGTGGTGAGCATTTGCTCCATGATTCTCATATTTAGCTGATGACAGGAAGGACAGACAGTGCCAAACATCTTCTTTCCCAGGTGCTTTTTTTAAATTAACACCAGTTATTTGTGCTCTGTGGGCACCAGGGGACTGTACTGACAGACTACCTCTTCTGTGGCTAGTCAGAGTCTTAGCTACATTTTTAATATTTATCTGAGTCTTAGCTACATTTTTGATATTTATCTTTTCCTTGGTTCTTGTGAGATGTGCTTTCACATTGTGGACAAAACACTGAGTGTAAATAAAGAGTAACAATTTACTAGAGGGCTGAAGTACAGCCAGAAGTCACGCCCAGTTGCATCCCAGATTTGTCTCTTCTTTCCCAGTCTGCAGACAAGACTTTCAAATTGTCACTGCTTTTCAGGACTGCATGCTGGTTTTGGATGGATCTTTCTGTACTTTGTAGGAGCAAACACTGTCTCTTCATCTTGTCCCACTCCTGAGTCATTAAGGCTCACTGGGTCTTGCTTTCCACCCTGAGTGTGCCAAGAGGCTGTGAGCTGATGCGCTGACATCTTGGTGACCGAAATAGGACACCATCAAAACCTTTCTCCTGTTCCACCTTCTGGTGCTTCCAGCCCCAAGCAGTCCTGCTCATTTTCCCTTCATCTGAGACTGAAGGTTTTTATTAGAGTTTTTTCCAGGTGTAGGCAGTTTTCTGCCAGCAGGTACTACCCAGACTTGGGTGAAGAGCTGTGGAAGTAAAAAATTGAGATAGACCTCAGATTGAACTCCAGGGCAAAGATACTCTATCAAGTATGTAAAGAGCATCCTTTTGTTTGAACCTGCTTCAAACCCATGCTCCTCGCTTTTCCTCCTGTTTTGTTTTCTAGGTCCAAGTTGCTGATACCGAGTATGTCCACTTAAAAGTGCTTCTGGGCCTTCCTCCAGAGAATGTATGTCCTGCCCTTGTCAATTTTCAGACTGGCAAGACCAGAGATGATCCTCTGGACTACTTCTGAGGCATCCTGACGGACGGTGCCTCACTTCTGCAAGTCACATGGGGGTTCTGACCATGACAGTAAATGCATGAAAATAAAATAAGACTTGAAAGCTATTTGCTCATCTGCTGTGTGTCATGCCTTGGGCTGCTGCCCGGCTAAAGCTCAGGTAGGCTCCAAAATACTGTTCCAGGCTGTTTCTGCCACCTGTGGTACCACAGCTGTAAGTCAGGGCACATCCATTTCAGCTCCTCTTTCCAAAACTCTGTTGGGTGTCTTGGGCCTTTTGGGTTTGTTTCAGTGCATTAAATGCACGCTATTGGCGACTCATCAGAAAGAGTGTGAGGTAGAAAATTTCTGGCATGGGGGAACAGAGAACCCAAACTATCTTCCTCTTAAGAGCAGCTTCACTCACAGGGAGCAGAGGGGTGGCAGGACAGGGAGCAGGAATGTGTGCCTTGAAGGAATGGGAAGACCAGTCTCCTTCCACCTTCGGTCAATATAACCCTAAATGTAACAGCAGTAGGTATCAGAAACTAAACTTGTGGACTTGTGAGCTTGTGGACTAAAGGGGAGGACGTGGTTGAGAAGCATGAACCAGACTGGGGAAGCAGGTATTGTTTGCCTGCTATCACCTATAAATAAATGCTCTGGTGGGGCTTTGGGCAGGCAGAGCTCTACTGGATTTGTGAGGAGACTGGGGATGCAGGATCAGGCTATTCACTGGGATTGTTCCCAGCCCATCAGCCGAATTTGCTGATGAAAATCCCCCCCAGAGCTGATCCACTCTGTTGTTGCTTCACTAACGAATGGTTCAGGAAACACCACGCTGGGCATGCTGGAAATGTGGGATTTTGAGCCATGTTGGGTGGAATGGGGCAGCCATCTATGTCAGCATCTTCTGGTAGGACATGCAAGTGGAGGTTCTCAGGGTCCAGCTTTCCACAGAAGGATGTTCCTCAGCTTGTCTTCGTTAGTGTTGCTTGACACATGACCGGCTTTTGGGCATCTGCCTGACCAGACCTCCTCTTCCCTCGGACTCGGCAGGATGTGTGTGCCTTCTCTGTGCTTGGGAAAAGTTTGGTTGTAAATCATCTTCCCAAAGAGGGTCCTTGCTTCTGAACTTCCCTTGTGCCCAGCGTGTGTCACTGCCATTGGCTGCAGCAGAGGCTCTCAGGCAGCGTGTGGAGCTGATGGCTTAGAGCTCCAGGTAGGAGTGCAGTGAGGGTGGGTGGGGCTTTCCCAGCAAATACAGCCTGGTTTTTCTGTTTCTATAAAATCATTGAATTATCGAATTATCAAAGTTGGAAGAATTCGGTCATTGTGAAGCAGACTGAGGGGAGAAAGCTCTTTACTGGTACCACAGGCTCAGCATATGCTGGGATGAGATTTTTGTGCTGCTGAAAGTCAGGTTTCTATTAATCTTTCTTGATGTATGATGTCAGAAATCTTTTGAAATCAGAGTGAGGAGCAGGAGGGGAAACCGTTTTTTCAGACTAGCATGGTGAAAGTCAAGGTTGATGTTACTGTGATCATCAAAACAGATTTTCGACTGCTAGATGGAGAGCTGCTTTCCTCTAGTTTTTAAAAACAATCAGACAGTGTGTCATACCATCCAGTCACATTCAGGTGTCTTTGCACTGTGAAACCAGAAGGCTGAACTACTGACTTGGGCTTTCACAGTCATTCCTACAGAGCTGTAGGTTTCTCATTTCTAGTTTAAAGATGACTTGTAAATACATAACTCTGAGGTTTGGAATTTGGTTGAGGGTTTTTTATATTTTATTTTGTTTGCTTTTTTTTGTTACTGTACCAGTGTTTTTATCAACTATAGCTTGTAATTCTTAAACTTCCATGTACAGCACCAGGGAGTAGTGGCCTGAAAGCTGTAAAATTTGTTTCTTCCTTATTGGAATAGTACATGGTGCAAGATGTTACTCAGCTTCAAAACTATAAAGAATGCTGGTGATATTCTGCCAGCAGAGATTGTCCCATATAACAGCAGTAAATTGAATGGAAATTCCCATCTGTGCAAATGCAGAGTGTAGGCTGGAATGGTACGTGATATCAGACATGTCACAAATACTAAAGGAGGGGACGATCATTAGCTTGACAATCTTATGCAAGAGAGGGAATGGGGGCGGCTGTTCTTTTGATGGTTGTGTTCCAAATCCTGTTTCATTACATCTGAAGCTGACTAGAGAGGGGTGTAGGTGAATGTTGCCTAGGATGAGGTTAATCTATTGCCACTGATCATCTTTGAGAAGAGGTCTGTGAAACGTCAGCACTTCAAAGTGCTTTCCCGAAATTTGTGTGCAGGATGAGTACTGCATCCCAGTCTTAAAACTATCACTGGATTTTGGGACAGCAGTTAGCACTGCCATGAAAAGAAAATAGATTGATCTGCCTGTGTAAACTTCAGCATCATCTTGTAGACAGTGTTGATTTTCCTTCCCTTGTGCTCAACTCTGTGCAATCTGGGAGAAAAAAAATTATTATGCTTTGAAGTAAAAAACCAGCAAATCCAGAAATATGCAGTCTAATGATTGATTTCCACACAACATTAACATCTTTAGTTTCACAACTAGAGTTTTCCTGAGATTATAAATTAACCTTCCTAGACTTTGTGATCAGTGTATTTCCTGCTAATTAAAGTGTTCTCCGGGGGTGTACTGCTGTCCTGGGGACCATAACATCCCTTGTATCCTGGTGAGTGGACAGGTTATAAAATACTCTGTTTTAGCACTGGTGCTATGTGGTTGTTGGACACATTCTGTGACTCCTGACCTCAGTAAGGTGGGCTGGCTCTTCCAGTTACTTATCTATCCTGCTGTGTGAATAAGACTCATAGTAGCAACTGTGGTGGAACACGATCAGCATTTGGGTGAATCACCAGTGTCTTGTACAAAGGAAGGATTTTGAAGTCATCAGCTTGAATTGCCATTAGCTCCAGAAGTGGGCTGTGAGCAACTCCTTATCTGGAGAGATGAAGTTGGTGAAGCTGGCAGAAATCCAGTTTTAAGAGCTCCTGTTCTCATCATTCCTGAGACCTGGAAGTGTTTTTCTCTTGGTTCCGAAAGATGTTGTCTCAGGACAACTGTTTCTCCTCAGATGCTTTTCATCCACTCGTATAGCACTGCTGCTCAAGTTTGGGAAGTTCTGCAAACACTGTAACCATAAACAGCTCTAATACTGATCTCTATGCTGTTGAGTTTAGGGCCCCTAGAGCCCCAGATTCTGCATCTCGGGTCCTTTGTATCAAAACCAGGCCTTGAAGTCGGGTGTGAAGTCCTTGTTTACAGCCTGTTGCATCACTTGTCATCTGTGAGGAGGAGGGTCAGTAGCCTGGGTAAGACACGGATAAGTCTGTGCTACACAAACCCCATTGCTGTGGCCATAAACAAACTTGTTTTGAGCAAACTCCCCAGTGCTGATTCCAGCAGAAATGCCCTTTGCCTGTGTGCAGCACGTAGTCCTATTTCAGCTACTGCCATGTACCCAGCCCTGGAGACTACAAATTGTCTGGTCTGTTGCTGCTTCTCTGGTCCTTGCTCTGGAACAACATTCCTCATATTTTCTGGAGAGAGGGATGGCAGGAATACCAAGGGAGAGTAATTTTCCGGAAATGTTAGTCCTCCCCATACCTGGGAGGGCTGCTAACACTTATTAGTTGTCCCTCAGTAGGTTTTGAGCTTTGTCCATTTGTATATGGTCATGGATGTGACTGTGCCATGTGTCTGGGAATGAATCCTTTGGACTATGTATTCTGCATGTTGCCTGATTCAGGAGAGTACCCTGACATTAGGACAGCAATTGTGCACACTCTGCTCCTCTAGCGAGAGGGATTGTACTTTGTCTTCCCAGAAATTGGCTCTAGGGTTTCAATTGAAATATAAATGTTACTGAATATTCAGTTGTTATTATGATTGTCTGAATGCAGCTCTAGGTCTGAGGGGAAAGAAGCAGAAATACCTTATTTGAAGTACTTATCTGAAGGTGGGACCTCTCTGGTCAGGCAGAGGGAAGTCAAGTCACTGAAGATAAGATGCAATCTGCTCCTGTTTCCCACTTGGAAGGATATTGAGACAGTAAAATTCCAAGTTGAACGGGACCTGCAGTAAGGAAATTACTGCATACTTTCTTCTGATCTTGAAAGGTGTTGGGAAATACTGGGTGTGACTTTGATCCATTTCCTGAGTGCACAGACCAGTCATCTGCACATGGGTGGAGAGGCAAGAGGTTCCAGTTGCAGTCCAAACCAACTGTCTCAAGATATAGGTGGCTGGAGGCTAATGTTTGCTTTTCTTATTGACATGAAGACTGAACACTCTTGAGATTCCTAAAGTGCTTTTTACATTTATTATTATCAGTGTATTACATTGCTTTTTCTCCATTTTCCCCATTTGTCTCCTTCACCAGTTTGGTAATGGTAGGCTCCATGTGTTGCAGGTCACATGATTCCATGACACATGTTTATGTATATATAGGAGATGCCTGGTGAATGTGCTCAGACTGTGCTAAACTTCCCTCTTCGGAATCACCCATTTCAGACCCGCCAGTCATTTCAGAGACGGCACCTGCCACTATGATGACCGGGGGCTTATCTGACACCAAGGAGGCTACTCCAGAAATCCAGCATATTGTTAACCAGGTGAGTTGCACCCTGTCCATCAATGAAGTCTCTGTGTGCATAGGTCTGAGTGTGGAATGTTGTGTAAAGGCTGGGAAACCAGGCGTTGATACTGAAACAGGGTTCAAACTGAAAAAGCTCAAGCAGAAAATGGGAATCCCCTTGACTGCCCGTTTTTTCTCTATCTCCTCACTGTCCATAGCCAGTCATAGTACTGGCTACGTTCAGTGAATATTCACATGTAGTTCAAAGCCCAGCTCTGCTATGCCAGCACTGAAGGGGCTTGTTTGAAAGGAGAGGTGACATATTTGAAGGGAGAAGGTTGTTATCTAGTAGAAATAATTCCTCACTAAAGGATGTGAATAGGACAAACCACGTACTAGTATGCACTAAAAAATTATATATTCAGGAGAGAGCTATTTTTAAACAATGTGTTCTCTGCTGGCATTGTTTTCTAGACTGACAGCTGTGATGCAGAGCCTGCTGGTTAGCCCATGGGGCAAGGTGAGCTTGGCAAAAGGCAAGCCAGTGAGCCCAGTTGCCAGGTCATTGGTTACAGGCAGTGATCCTGTCCTGGAAGCAGCTGTGAGAAGCAGCTCTGCAGATCTTCCAGCAGCTCTTTTTAAAACAAGTATCAAGTGCATCCTGAGGAATGCAAAGGGAACAACATAGCATGGGAAAACTCCTTTTGTATCTCTCATCTCATGTTCCCACCTTGAAATTTGACTCCTGAGTCTTGTGAAAGGCCTCAAGGGCCTCCTTTGAACATGGCTGGGCCAGTGCAGCATCCCAAATAGTGAGCTACATTTTCAGTGCTGGGTTGTGTCATTTCTGGGCGATCAGAAGTATTTTGGTGTGTATTGGAGGTGAAACCACAGTGCTTGTCTGTCAGTGAGCAAACAGGCTGAAAATCGAACTGTGAATGCTGTTTTCAGGCTGTGCTAATGCTCACAAAGTACAGGGCAAATATGGCATTTGAAATGTGGATGTAGAGATTTTCTGCTTGATTCCAGAAGAGGAGTGATCTTAATCTTGGTGTTCTTTCATTCTCAGTAACTTCAGGAGAATGAAAACAGAGGGTTGGGAGAGAGAGCAAAACTGGAGAGAAGCAGCTTTGTTTTGTTGTATTCTGAGAGAAGAATATGATGTACCAAAAGTTGCCGCAGAAGCATTCTAGGAGCCCCCTGATCCAGCTAGTTGGAAGAGGGTTGGGAATTAAAGTTTTCCTGGTTTGCTACAGTTAGCAGCTCCTGAGTTGAAAATATAGCTGTCAGTTCCTGGTGATAGAAATACCATGGAAGCTGCTCAACAGAAAAACAAAATAAGAGATTATGAGGAACCTAAATATGATAATAATTTCTGACACTTTAGGAACGATCTGGTTATTCCTTGGGTACTTTCTGTGACCTTCCTGCTAGGAAGGAATGTCATGGGAGTGGCAGCCAGCTGTAGGTGGATGTGCTGAGAAAGAAAATTAATTCTGTGCGTTCCTGCGAAACAGGTGGGTGGTGGAGGAGCGCTGAGTGCTGCTGGCCCCTCCCAGAGGCTGTCTGAGCAGGCTGACACTTGACCCTGCACTCCTGTGCCCAAATTCTGCAATGCATCAGGTCATCAGCATGGATGTCATGTGCAGAGAGGCACCGTGTTACCCAGCCTAGAAAAGACTGTCTATGCCTTTTGAGTGGTGGTCAGAGGCTGTCTTGGGCATAGTGATCATGAAATGATAGAGTTTTTAATTCTTGGAGAAGTGAAGAAGGGGGTCAGCAAAACTGACACCTTGGACTTCTGAGGGGCAGGCTTTGGCCTGTTTAGGAGACTGGTTGAGAGAATCCCTTGGGAGGCAGGTCCTGAAGGGCAAAGGGATCCAGGAAGGGTGGACATTGTTCAAGAAGGAAATCCTAAAGGTGCAAGAGCAGCGTGTCCCCATGTGCCAAAAGATGAGCCAGTGGGGAAGAAGACTGGACTGGCTGAATAGAGAGTGTTGGCTGGAATTAAGGGCAAAAACCAGAGTTTACAAACTTTGGAAGAAGAGGCAGGCAACTCAGGAGGACTGCAAAGGTGTTGTGAGGTTATGCAGGGAGAAAGCTGGAAAGTCAAAAGCCCAGCTAGAACTTAATCTGTCCACAGACATAGGAGATGACAAAGAATGTTTTTAAAAATACATTAGCAAGAAAAGGAGGGCTAAGGAGAATCTCCATAATTTGCTGGATGTGGGGGGACACATTGCCACAAAGGATGAAGAAAAGGCTGAGGCAATTAATGCCTTTGCCTCAGTCATTAATAGTCAGACCAGCTGTCCTCAGGGTACCCAGCTCCATGAGCTGGAAGACAGAGACAAGCACTGTAATGAAGCTCCCACCATCCAGGAGGAAACAGTTAGTCACCTGCTTCTCCACTTAAATACATGTAAGTCTATGGTGTGGGATGGAATCCACAGGAGGGTATTGAAGGAGCTGGGGGAGGAGCTTGCCAAGCTACTCCATCATTTACCAGCAGTCCTGGCACACCGGGGAGGTCCCAGACAACTGGAGGTTGGCCAGTGTGTCATCCATCCACAGGAAGGGCTGGAAGGAGGATCCAGGAAAGAGAATCTGGGGAACTACAGGCCTGTCATCCTGACCTCAGTGGGGGGAAGGTCATGGAACAGCTCATCTTGAGTGCCCAGCCAGCAAGGGTTTAGGTAAGGCAGGTCCTGCTTGACCAACCTGATCTTCTGTGTCAGGGTGACCTGCCTAGTGGATGAGGGAAAGGCTGTGGATGTTGTCTACCTGGAGCCTTTGACACTGTTTCCCGCAGTGTTCTATTCTCCTGGAGAAGCTGGCAGCCCATGGTTGGACAGGTGCACTGTTCAGTGGGTAAAAATCTTTCAGGATGGCTGGGTCCAGAGAGTGGTGATGAACAGAGTTACATCCCGTTGGTGGCTGGTCACTAGTGGGATTCCCCAAGGCTCAGTTTTGGGGCCAGTCCTGTTTAATATCTTTATTGATGATCTGGACAAGGGGACAGAGGGCACCCTTGCTCAGTTTGCAGACAACACCAAGCTGGGTGGGTTTGTTGATCTGGAGGTCAGGAAGGCTCTGCAGAGGGATCTGGACAGGCTGGATTGATTGGCTGGGATCAATTGTGTGAGGTTTAACAAGGCAAAGTGCTGGGTCCTGCACTTGGGTCACAACAATCCCATGCACCACTACAGGGTATCTCCTTTGACACAGAATTAAAAGAGCAGCAGTTAGCAGTTTCCCCTGTACTGAGCAGAGGACAGACAGCTCAGCTGGACAGCTTTGAGTCAGGGGAAATCAACTAGGAAGTCTAATTCTAACAGGATTTTAAAGAATGCTGGAGGCACTGCTGAGAAAGAGGGCCGGAGGTCTTGGTGTAAAATTGATTTAGAGTGGAGGTTCTGGGTTTATTTCACTAGGGGGTATGTGTGATATATGTGAATGAAAAGCTCAAACATGAACCTGCCACTCATTTTCCCTTTGCTTTCTACAGGTGAAGCCACAATTTGAAAGCAAGGAAAACAGGAGCTGTGCCATGTTTACAGCCATAGTATTTAAGACTCAAGTGGTTGCTGGGATAAACTACTTTATTAAGGTTTGTATATATTATAGGAGGGGTGCTTTGCAGTTAAACAGTATAGGTGACTTGCAGAGTGGCTTAGAGCTGGAAAGAGAAGCAAATGTGGTAGAAAAACATCTCTGTGAGTATGATATGACTAATAGAGCTGGGGACTATCTCCAGGTGCTGTTTGGCACTACTGTAGAAGAGGAGTAGAAAAACCTCAAAAACATGCATTAGGCTTCTTCAGATGGGACTGGTAAGTTTCTCAGGATAATGCCATTCAAAGACTTACCAACTTAGTGATTTAAACAAGTTGTAACTCTGCTCTCCTGTTTCCCTTCAAAGCAAATTAGCTTTCCTGTTGTGTCTGTGACCTCCTGTTGTGTTTACTGTGCTGAATTTGAAGTCAGACTGAGGATCAGATAGAGTCCATTTTGTAACGCAGAGCAAGCATCTCATTGTCTGCTGACTAGTTTTGCAAGCAAGCAGGTGTGTTGATGTTTTGGTTCTGCATCATGTGCTGCAGAGATACTGCCTGCCTGCTAGTTCTTTCTTGTATTTTCATAATCCCTTCTCTATTGCTATGGAGGAAAAACAGGTAATGCTCAGTTTGGATCCCTCTGAGAGCACCATTCATCCTCTACTAGGAACCCTTACCCACGGCTGTGAGCAGCTTTCTATGAAGTAGCACAGAAGAACTTGCTGGGCATAGTTTGCATCTGAAGGCCAGCAAGCGCTGCTGAGTGGCAGGCTGGCCCTCTGGAGCAGAGCACACATGGTGTGGGACTGCTGTCTCTCAAACCCCAAGCGTGTGGGGATGTGCCTGGTGGGACATGCTCCCCTGACAAGGGTCAGAGTTGTTTTATGGAAGAAATTGTCTGGTAGCGTTTGGGGGAGAGTAATTCTGGAGAGAGATGTGGTGAGCATTTGCTCCACGCTTCTCATATTTAGCTGATGACAGGAAGGACAGACAGTGCCAAACATCTTCTTTCCCTGATAAGATAACTCTTATCAGTTATTTGTGCTCAGGGAACTGTACTGACAGACTGCCTCTTCTGTGACTAGTCAAGAGTGTTACCTACATGAACTGTGTTTACCATTCCCTTGCTCCTGTGAGATGTGCTTTCACTTGGTTGACAAAACACTGAAAAGTTCAGATTACAGGTACAGACAGAAGTCATGCGCAGTTGCATTTCTTTCCTTCGTGCCATCTTATTGCTTACCTAGGCAACCTAAAATACTTCTTGTCTGCTGTCCCTGCTAAGCCTCATGACCAAACTACTCAGAAATGAAGACTGACGAGTAACTGAATTAGGAGGAAATCCACTTGTAACACTGAAAACAGATGATTTGTCTCTTCTTTCCAATTTTGCCTGTGATGGGAAACAGTTACTCATTTTAGCAATAAGTGGAACAAGCTCTGTCACAAGATTCATTCTTTTGTATTTCTGAATTTTCCACATCACTAATGTGTTACCAGCGGACATGTAGCTGAGATGTAATCCAGACCAAGACAAACATAGTGCTACGTTGCAGCCACCAGAAAGCACTTAGTGCCTAAGGCAATAAACTTTCCATTGACACTATGTACCTCACAGAGGGAGAGTTTAGGGCCCCTTGTGCTTGGCTCTGTGTGAATGAAATGATATAGCTTCCTATCAAGTCTTTATGTGAGTGCTTTCTGGAGGGAAAGGTGAATTTCTTTGAAAAAGTATTTATTTCAGGCACTCACACCGCACTCCCACAAGCACCAAGATGTGTCAGATTGCCCATTCAGGCACTGAATGTTTGGAGTAACTGCAGACACAGGCTCCTGGCTTTCCAGTTGTCATTGTTTCTCAGGACCACGTGCTAGTTTTGGATAGATCTTTCTGTACCCTCTAGGAGCTGACACTGCATCTTGTCCCACCCCTGAGTCATTAAGATTTCTTAATCGTCTCTTGTCTTCCAGCCTCAGTGTGCCAAGAAGTTGTATGCTGGCATCTTGGTGACTGAAACAGGACACAAAACCTTTATCCTGTTGCACCTTCTGATGCTTCCACCCCCAAGCAGTTCTGCTCACTTTCCCTTCACCTGAACCTCAAGGTTTAGACAAGTGTACACAGTTTCTGCCACTGGTTACTGTCCAGACTTGGTTAAGAGCTGTTAAAGTAAAAATGAAGATGTATCTAAAATTAAGCTCCTGGGCAAAGATATTCTTTCAAGAATGTAAAGAGCATCCTTTTATTTGAACCATACTCCTCACTTTCCTGCTCTTTTGGTTTTTAGGTCCAAGTTTCCGATACTGAATATGTCCACTTAAGGGTGTTTCAGAGTCTTCCTCATGAGAACCAAGGTCCCAGCCTTGTTAGTTTTCAGACTGGCAAAACCAGAAATGATCCCCTGACCTACTTCTGAGAGACAATGAGAAACTGCGCCTCACTTCTGCAAATTGTGTGGGGGTTCTGCCCGTGACAGTAAATAAAATAAGTTTTGAAAACCATTGTCCTTATTTTCCTTTTGCTGCTGATATACCTGCAGAAGCCTTTCTTGGTCTCTCTTAATTTGGTCTCTCACCAGCTTAAAATAAAGTATTTCTAATTGGGGCATAGAATAAGCATAAGGTTATCTGGAATATAAAAAACACTTATGGCAAAAATTCTCAGAGCAAGATAATCAACTAATACTGAAAAGCAGTAAAGAGAGCACTGAAGCACCAGTCAAATATGCCATGTCAAGTCAAAAGAAATATTTATTGTTATTAATGCAGAGATGCTTGTCCAGCGTAAGTTCCTTTTCACGACTTTTCCATAGGACTGAGAACATAAGCAAGCTGATTTGGTTCTTTAAACTCACACACCCTCTACGGGACATTACATGCTACTGCTGCAAGAGGATGAACATGATTACCACGGGAATGTTTGTTTCAAAGTACTGTAATCCTCTATCCCTTCCCTGCAAAATTGTTTCAGCTCAAGTCTCTCTTCACATCTTTGCCAATAAAATACATAGTACAGTTTAAAGCTACACATGTATTCACAGCTGCAAAACAGCACAGAAAAGACAGGCTTTCGTCTTGCTTCTTGCTACAAATACATGAGTAGTAGTGTCACTCCCCTTCTGATTTCCAGACCAAGGAAGTCCACAAACAGGACTAAAGTCTAAGTAAAGTTGCAACTACAGTTGGGTTTGCATCAGTGCAGGTAATAGGAGAGCCGTATGACTCTCAAACTTAGAGATTGCACAGGAAGGGAATGACATAAAAGAAATTGTTTTTTTTCCCACCATTACGTTAAAAAAAGACACTTTTTTCCCCTCCTTTGTTGGCACGGGAATCAACATTTTTCAGCCTATAGAAAATGCACGTAAGAAACCGTTAGGAAAACGAACAAGACAAGCTTGCTAGAAATAAGCCAGTTCATCGTGCTTTGCCTTGCTGCTTTGGTAACTGTGGAGGCTCAGCGGCTTGTTCTCGTGGGGAAGGCTCTTGAACACCCGCAGGTGCATGAACTCATCATTGCCAACATGGACCTGCAAAGCACAAAACCCAGTGAGATCCGTGGAATGAGAACAGCCTTCAGCAGGAGGGGTGGTGTGGACTGGTGTGTTTTGAGGATGGAGAAGCAGATAGGCAGTGAGGAAAACCATCGCCTCAGAAGGAGTGGTCTTGTTTTAAACCAGACTGGGAGCCATGATTTTTGTGGAAATACCACCTAATCTTCCCATGAAAAAGAAAGTAAGAATACTTCTCTATTTCACACAGGCAGGGAGAGGGGCTGGGAAGTGGGTTTTTTTTTGGTTTTTTTTTTTTTTTTTTTTTTTTTTTGGGGGGTGTGTGTTTTTTTGTTTTGTTTTTGTTTTTTGTTTGTTTGGTTTTTTGTTGGTTTTTGTTTGTTTGTTTGTTTAATGCACAATTTTTTTTTTTCTTATTAAGGCCAAGTCACAAGCATTTTTCTCTAGTCTAGTAAAGGAAAAATCCCACCATTCCAAAGATTATATACATTGAATGAAAAAAAAGTCCCAGTGCTCTCTACCTTGATGAAGTAGTTTGTTCCAGCAACCACCTGGGTTTTGAACTCCACTGCAGTGAAGACATCAAAGGTTTTCCCTTCTTTTTCTTCTAGCTGAGATTTCACCTTAAGAAAACAGAAGGTTATTTAAGAGTGATGCACGATTCAAGTATTTAGGACTTAAGGCCTACAGGTCACTGCTGGTGAATTCCCAGGAGTTTCTGCTTTCTCAAGTTATTAAAAGATCAAAATGCATCATGTTATAAGTTTTGAGTTGGAGCAGGACCAGAAATCTAGAGAGGAGGCAAAGCTGAGTGTGGTGTGAGTCAGTTGCCACAGAGTGACACCAAGTCTTCACAACACTTATTTGACAGTTCTTCCAACATGTCTGCTGGAATCTATAATGTTTTCAAAATGCAAATCAGTGCTCAAGAAGTCAGAATGACTTGTTGAATACCCTAGAGGGAGGCATGAACTCCTGCGAGTTGCAGCTCTTCTATCCCAGGCTTGGCTGTGTAGAACATTGTGGCTATATGGTAAATTCTTGGTCAGGAAAGCAGATTTCAGCCTTTGCTTACCAGGGCAAGATGAGTTGTCCTGGAGTGCTTGCTGCAACTGCAGTTCTACCCAGGCATACCTCCTGCGTGGCCTCATTGTGTAGTCTTCAATCCCAGTGCAACAGTAACAGCAGCAAGCAGATTTTCCAGCTATATTGTGTACTTCCCCTTCTTCTTAATTCAAGAGGAATAAATACACCTGCTTTCCTGCATGAATCCCACTTGCTTCTCTTGAGAAAAACAAGTGCCAACTTGCCACTGCTCCAGTGCTCTAAGTGAAGTAGGAACAGAAACAATTCCTGCAACATGGTATGTTCTCTCATCTCTCCAACACCTAAAGGTGCAGGGACAAACTCTGGTGCCATTCCAGTGACAATCCTGTCCCTGGCAGCTGTGAACATACTTTTCATCTTACTTCAGAGGCCGTATCTCTAAGCTTCTGCCAGGCTATGAACAGGAAGATAGCAAGATGATGATGTTTGGACACTTTTCTAATTGTTTTTTTTGCCATATGGAATTCAAAGCTGCATTCTACAACGCAGTGAGTGGCCCAGCCCCAGAAAGCACTGGGCAGTCCTACTTCTTCCCCTTCTCCTGGGGTCACAGGCAGGAGCAAGTGGTTTCAGTTCTCATCACTAGAGCTACTTTTACAAATTTTAAGCAGCAGGGTGGACATAAGTATCCCACTGACCTTATCCTGTCCCGTGCTTCTTTAAAAACCCTATGCATTGTGCAAGGTTGGTTTCTGAGGTCTCAAAATTGCCCCAGCTCAGCACATTTTGTATGTCCACCAGCAAGCTGAACTCTGGGGTCCATGGATGCAGGCAGCTCAGAGTCACATGCAGCTGCCAGATTGCCAGGGTATTATGCTGGCAGTGACTCACCACAGCATGTGACAAATGAGCACTCTGATTCAGTATGGAGAGGGAGATCCCAGACACAAATACTCTCCAGAAGGGCTGCTATCAGCCCACCTTGGCAGTTCATGATCTCAGTGTGGATGTGGGGATCCTGGTGGACACAGGCCAGCACTGTGTTGTGGTGGTAACAAAGGTAAGAGCATACTGGGCTGCATCAGCCAGGAGCCTAGCCAGAAGGGAGACAAGTGATTGTTGCCCTTTCCTTGGCACTTTTTAGAGAACATTTGGAATACTGTGTCCAGTTTTGGGGCCCCAATACAAGAAAGATGTCAATAAGCTGTAAGAAGTCAGGCTCTTTACTGAGGAATGATGGCAGAAGATAGAGATTGAAACTGGAGGTTCAGACTGGATAGAAGGAAAAACTTTTCCCCTGAGGATACTCCTGCAATACAGGAGTGACCAGAGAAGCTGTGGCATTTTCATCCTTGGAGGTTTCCAAGACCTAACTGGAAAAAGCCCAGAGCAGCCTGGGGCTGCTCACCCTGTGCTCAGGCAAGCAGATGCAGTCCCTTCCCACCTAGATAATCTGTGATTCAATCACAGGACTGAAAATTATCAGGCCCTGAAGGCTCTTCACTGCTCTGCACAACCAGTTTGCTTAGCACAGTTACTAAAAAGCAGATGGGGTTCTAAATCACCCCGAAGAACCTCTGCCACAGTTACCAGTGAGAAGCCAAAGGCTGAACATCCTTGGTGAGGAGAGGCATTTCCTATGGGACTCCTAAGCCAGACACTGCTGAAGGAAGCTGTCCTGTTCTGTGTCACACTACACCTGCTCTGGGCCAGCAGCAGTACTTGCCAGGGTCACAAAACTGAACAACATTCAGTCATCACAAGGATTCTTATGAAACAGTGCAATGAAGGCAAGAACTGGAAAAGCAGGAACAGGAAATATTTTTATGGCAAGCAAACTGTCAGGCTCTAATAAATCTCCACAAAGATTTGACTTTAAGCAACCAAAACGATTTGAGAAGTCTACATAGATTGAACGAAACTAATGTTTTCTCCACAGTCTGTCCAGATAAGGATATGACTTGTGAGCAAGTCTCAGTTTTGGGTCTTTCCACTTGTATTTCATGAAATAATTTAAACTGGGAGTCAAAACAAACTGGACAAACTCTGAACTATTTATGTGATTTAAATGAAAATGCCAGATTTTTAGTTAATTCTGTCCACTTGTGAATCCAAGAGGGGTTTATTTTCACACTTTATTTCCGGATTACCAAACCACTGCAGTCTGTCACAGAACAGACAGTCAGGATTTCAAAAACAGTTTTAAGACCCCGTGGAATGTTAACTGCATATCTGCATAAACTTTAACATGACATGTAGGCCTTTTCAAGTCAAAGCAATAATTTACTCTCTCATCAATTCTCAATAATGTACTTACTACTGCAAACTGTCTCTTTTTTTATAACACATAATCATTATGTTGTATGAGTTAAATGATAATTTCAATTACTACTGTGCCTTTGGATGCTCTGTAGGTGTTTAGGAACTGCTACAGCCTGGGGAACAAACTTGGGCATTGACAAGGAGCAAAAGAAGCTGGAGCCTGCCCTTCATCTTTCTTTTTTTCGTCTAGACTGCCACATCCCAGCCGACAAAAACAAAAACCAGAAGAAACTTGAGCTTCCATTACAGAAACTGGACCATAGAAGAACTTAGTTGTACACTGGCGTTTTTAGAGTAAAAGCATGTTGTCCACTAACACGCGAGCAGTAAATGAAGTTACTGTAAGTAGTACAGTATCAGGATTTGGAGCTGGTAGTGCTTGGAGCTGAATTCTGTGTTGGGGAATAGCAGAAGCAGCGAGTAAGCTTTCTTGCTTATTTCCCGATTCTCCCCCCGCTCCCCCCCCCCCAAAAAAAGACACCGAACAAACTCAAAACAAAAAAACCTCAACCAAGCACTCCCCCCTAAAAGAACCCCACCCACCCCAAACAACAAACTAAACAAAAAAAAACGGAACACCAAACACAAAACAAAAACCAAAACCAAGCGTAAGCACAGGCTTTAGACTTTGTAAGAACTATGTGAGCTCCTTCCTCGAGCTCAGGACAGTGGACCTTTTGGGCCGGGCCGCAGGCCGGTTTTCCCGGTGGCCGCAGCCCATCTCCCGCACTTCCAGGGCCGGAGCCGGCAGCATCCCGGCCCTCCCTGCGCTGCCCACGGTTCCTCCGGACTCAACCGAGCCGCGCCAGGCCCGGCGGGCGCAGGGAGGGCTCCGGGAGCCGGAGAATGCTCCGTGCCATTCCCAATTGCCTAAGACTTCTACACCGGGGGGTTGGCGGCGGTGTCCCCGCGCAGAGCGATGTCCGAGCACACCCCCGGCGCCCCGACAGACCCCGCACCGGGACGGGACCCCCTTTCCCGGTCCCGCGGGTCCCTCCTGGGGCCCTCCCCTGCCTCTCACCTCCTGCACGATCTGCTGCGTCTCGTCGGTGGCGGGACGGACCGCCGAGGGAGCCCCGCACAACATGGTGGTACCGGTACTGTTCCTGCTGCCGCCCCGATCCTCCCCCGCGGGCGGGGCCGTGGCTGCCGGCGGGGCGGTGCCGGGGCCGGGGGCGGTGCCGGGCCCGGGGCTCGAACCCGCGGCCGAGGGGTCGGCTGGGCGGTGCGGCGGGCGGCGGGCGGTCCCGGCACCGCCCAGGCCGGGGGGTTCAGCGCAGCCTGGCAGGACCAGCGCTCCCCGGGGTCGGCGCCGGGATTGTGGCCTACCAGCCCATTAAAGAGAAAACCAGCTGAAAGCAGCAACCGCAATAAAAGCTGCCGGCAGAATTTATTCTGCTCCCTTGAAGGAAGGGATGCGGCCCGTCCTCAGCGGGCAGCGCCCCTGTGGCAGTCCCGCGTGAGGGCAGGGCTGCCGTCAGCTGATGCGTTTTCCCTTTCCTGTGTGTCACCTTTTCCAGCGGCGGCATGTTCTCGTTAGCCGCATGGAAAGTTCCATCTTCAGGACTCCCTCGTTCGCCTTGCTCATCGTTCCCTCTCCCAGGCTGATTTTACCGTTCCTCAGCGACCAAACAGAAGGCGGTGACGAATTAACCAGTTCTGAGAAATCCCCTGCGGAGATTTCAGGCTGAATGTTCAGGTCTTTACAGTCTTTACAGTCCCTGCAGTTTAAACATCCAGACTCCTTGGAAAAACAACAATAAACACTTACCTTCCTTCTCCAGCTTTGCAGCATCCCTTTGTAAATTTGGTCAATACAACCCTAAATTTAATAACAGCAGATATTAGATACTGAAGGGAGCTCCTGGACTCACAGGGAGGACTTTGTGAGAAGCATGAACAGGAATGTGCAAGAAGGTTTCTTTCCCCTGCTATCACCTATAAAAAAGGGCTCTGCTGGGGCTTTGGGCAGGCAGAGCTCTGCTGGGTTTGTGAGGACACTGGGGATGGAGGATCAGGCTATTCACTGGGATTGTTCCCAGCCCATCAGCTGAATTTGCTGATGGAAATCCCATAGAGCTGATCCAGTCTGCTGTTGCTTCACTAACGAATGGTTCAGGAAACACCACACTGGGGCATGCTCTCCAGCGGGTTTTTGAGCCATGGTGGGCGGGACAGGGCAGCTAGGACATGCCAATGGAGATTCTCAGGCTTGACCTTTTATCAGAAGGATGTTCCCCACCTTGTCTTCATCAGTATGTCTTGTGTGACACACCAACAGGCTTTTGGGCATCTGCCTGACTAGACCTCCTCCTGAACTTGGCAAGATAAAAACATATCCCTTTCTCTGTGCATGGGGAAAGGGTCTGGTTGCAAATTGCCTTCCTGAAGGGATCCTTATTTACTGAACTTCCCTTGTGCCCAAGTGTGTGTGTCACTGCCATCGGCTGCAGCAGCAGCTCTCGGGCAGCATGTGGAGCTGGAGGCCTAGAGCTCCGGGTAGGAGTGCAGTGAGGGTAGATGGGGCTTTCCCAGCAAATACAGCTTGGTTGGTCAGTGCTAAAAAATTATGGCAGCTGTTGGAAACTCATTGTGTGCCAGGGTATAAATTCCTTTTAAGTAAATGCAGAGAATGAAAAACACAAAAAGAATTAAAAGCACTCAAATGTCAATATTATCTACTGTCTGTATAGACAGTGAATAGTGCTTTCCAAACAAGGCAGCCCATGGTGACTTTCTGTTTTTCACACTGCGTGTGTTCGTGCATAATCTTTGGTTTGTATCCTGTGTCATTTTCATTTCATTCATTAAGCTCTTATATGTTTCAATGCTGTCAGCTTCACTTCAAGGGCTACTGTACTGGGTTTGGTCCATTAGCACTAAAACTACCTGACTAACAGGATTTTTGGAAGTGTGGGCCATAATCAAAGTTCTTTTTTTATCCCTTTCTGCCATCTAGTGTCCATCTGCATTCATGCATTTAGGACATCATGGATCTTAATTCTGTACCTTAAACTGAGCCTAGAGGCCACACTCACAAGCCTGGGGAAGGGAGCTGGGTTTCAGAAGCAGCTCTCAGCTCTCACTGGGTACAGGAATAGAATGTGCTTTCCAAAGATCTTGGCTACAAGGATTTGTGTTTTCAAACTCACTCTTTTTTTTTTTTTTTTTTTTTTTTTTTTTTTTTTTTTTTTTTTTTTTTTTTTTTTTTTTTTTTTTTTTTTTTTTTTTTTTTTTTTTTTTTTTTTTTTAAAACAAGTTCTGCCATAGATTTAATCAAATATTGTAAGTTGATAGCCTTACAGTTAAACTTGGATTGGTTCTTACGTGATGTAATTAAAATGTGAGCCCACTCCAAGGGGGATGTAACATCAACAAAAGGGTTAAAATAACTTGTCTGAAGAGTGTGCTACTTGGGCTTTCTGGACTTGCACTTTGCTCTCCCAGGGCAAGAACTCCTCTTCCTTATCAGCAATAAGTGGAGGTGGCAAAACAAAGGTTTTATGCAGTAATGTCACCTGTAAGTTTTATTTGCCTGCCCTGGCAAAAGAACAACCAAGCAAAAACAGTAACAAGAGAATTGTGATGTTTTCCCCAACACATTCACACACAGTCCTTTTGTCTCTGCTCACACTGAGCTGCAGGCCCATCTACCTTTCCATAGTGGTCTAGACTACCTTAATGTTTGATGAGGGAGGGTATTGACAACATGAAGCTTGTTCTTGCACATGGAATATGGAAAAAGGGGAAATAAATTCTGCAATGTAACCCTAGCCCCTCCTGCCAGGCTGTTAGGGAATGCTTTTTCTCTCAGCAGGCTGCAACAAATGTCTCTTCTAATGACTCTCTTGCTTTACCATGGATCAAGAAAAACCAGGCATGCCTTGCAAAACCAGGAGCGTTTATGTCTTCTTTAGGGGGAGTGGGACAAGAGTAATGAAGTTCTGCTATGCTCTCTGCTGAAGTCCTTACTGTTTTACTTTAGGTACCCTTCTTGTGCTAGGTGCCCTCTCTTCAAGGTGGGAAATAACCTAGTAAGTGGCCTATAGGTGCCAAAACATATCCAATTTGTCCATTTGTCTCTGTGCATGTCCCAGGCCTGTATGTCTTCCTTATCCAGTCATCTACCAGCACACACACTTCAGATATTCACCCGCTCTGGCAATCATACTACCTCTTCTGGGCACTACTTCTCCATCCCTCACTCCTCCATTTCTCCATGTTTCGTTTGCTTTGTATCAGGCCCAGCAGTACCGCTAGGACTAGTGCAATGCTCTGTGTAGGTGTGAGGCAGATTAATATGGCAAAGTACAACACTGACTAAGGTGTGAAAGGGTTAGCCACGTATGCCATGTGGGATAGTACAGAAGCAACTCTTTGTTAAGCGTACAACTACTAGCAACATAATCAGTCATGGATACATCTCATTGTGCTCACACAACGTTCCTGGGGGGGATTTACAAGCTGTTCTCCCCCTCCACCAAAGCAGGCAGGCTGGAGGTAAAGCTACCCCAGCTGGAGGAAACCAGTAGGAACCTAGTAGCTTGGTCTAGTGCAGTGGAGTCTACGGAGAGTATTGTCCAATATTTCCTGTTGGGCAGAAAGGAGAGACTGGGACATTACTAAATATAAATAGCATGGCGCTCTGTCACATTAAATACTTTACATGTTCCCACCCTTGGCTGTACACAGCATGCAGGATGTTGGGGGCTTTTTTATTTTCCCCCCGACTGTGCTTTCCTGAAGTGAAACCGTGTACCTTGCTTTTGTAGAGCTGAGAGTCCTGATGCACATGGTTACAGATCACATATACTGGATAAAGAGGGAATATTATACATAGTGGGAAAGAGGAATATTATACATAAGTGTAAAAGCAGGGTATAGTGGAGTTGCCTAATGCCTCCCATAGTCAGCTGAGTTGCAGTCTGGCAGGAAAAGCTTATGGAGGCAAGGCAGCATGCAGGTTTCTGCTTAAGCCCCACCAGAGGTGATCTTCACTTGTCCTTCTGTGATGTCCTGGTTTCAATAAAGCAAATGCAAATTCAGTCCAAGGCTCCCCAGACACAGTCCTTCCTCTGGAGGAACATGTGTTACCTTGCTGGTGCTAACAGTAAGGTGTGGTGGGGCTGTGTCACAGGGGTGTGTCTTTGTTGTCTTTCCCATTCAGAAGCAAGAGGTGAGCAAGTTCCTCTGGAGGACTGGTGTGCTTTTCACAATCTTCTTTTGTTAGGAATGTATCGTGTTCTCTGTGACAGAGCCACCTCCAGTGCCTATAAAATTTCGGGAGTTAGCCGATTGCAGGGAAGGCTCCACCTCAGGGCTTGGTACCTCTTCTTTGTTGTCTCCCGCCACCGACTCCTGCGAGCTGGTCTCTGGGCTGGAAGCTGCCTGGAAGCTGGACTCAGCGCCGAGGGGCTCATTGATCTGCAGGGGAAGCAGGGCCCGGTGCCGCATCAGGCTGTCGTCGCTGTTCTGGGCCTCCAGCGAGTTCCTGCGCTTGGCATTCCTGTTGGCCATGGCGTTCTTCTGCGGCTCCTCGAAGCTCAGCGACAGGGTGACTGTGCCGCTCCCGAAGCTGACTTTTTGCTTGCACCCTCGCTGCTGCTGGCGCTGCCGCTCGGCAGAGGCTGGTAGGGGAAAAGGATCCTCATGGTTGCTCTTGCTGCTGATGGAGGAGGAAGGGGTGGAGCCGGTGGAACCCCCCAGGCTGTTGGAGCGCTTGCGGGACACGTTGCTGCGTCTCAGCGTGGCCCTGGCAGCCACTTTGAAAGCGTGGGCGGCCGTGCTGCAGCGCACCTCCTCGATTGTGTTGCGGGAGGGCTTGAAGAGGATGATGTAGACTTTGTTGAAGAAGATGCAGGCCAGGAGCCCAAAGCTGGCAGCCAGTATCGCAATCACCTCCACAGCAGAGACAAACTTGCCGTATGTGCTGGCGTAAGCAGGGATGAAGGAAATCCACACAATGAAGAATATCAGCATGCTGAAGGTGATGAACTTGGCCTCGTTAAAATTCTCAGGCAGCTTTCGAGACTTGAAGGCGAAGAAGAAACAGATGGCTGCCAGTAGGCAGGTGTAGCCAATGAGGAAACCAAGGGCCATCAGGGAGCCTTCATGGCAGGTGATGAAGATGATCTCATCCTCCAGTTCATGGTTTCGGTAA